TATTATGGGTTGCGAAGTATGTAAAATTAACTGCGGGAAGTGTGTGGAGAAACTGAAAGTCTTGTATGATGTTAGTGAGAATGTGAAAAGGGGTGGCTGCTATGGAAAATAATATAGCGACTCATTTTTAAAATATTTACTTATAATCAAGAAATTCCTCGGATGGATCTATAGTAAATTAACTGACTGGAGGGGCTCAATGAGATATGTGTAGACTCGTTCACAGCAACATTATTGACAGTTACAAAAACATGGAAAGAACCCTACATTCATTAATGAATGATTGAATGAATAAGCAAAATACCATCTACATATGATATAGTATTATTTAACACTTAGAAGAAAATTTTGTCAAATGCAACAACATAGATGAACATGAAGAATATTGTATTAAGTGAAATCAGTCAGTTACAGAAGAATGACATGTGAAATACAGGAAATTATCATAGTCAAATATACACAACAAGGATATAGAGTGGTGATTACCAGAGCCTAAAATGAAGGAGGAAGGGGGTCTTTCTTTGCAACATGGGCAAAACATGATGCCATAGCATTCCAAGTAGTGCAAAATAACCAACCATTCCCAGTAGTATTTATGTCGTGTCTCTGCTATCATCACTGTCATTCATTCCACTTTTATACATTAAAAATGAAAAAGAATAAAAACAGTAACACAGAATTTCAAAACAAAATAACAGAGGACACTGCCTAATATATTGTGTATTGTTATCTTCAAAATAGTTGTTCAGATTACAAGATATAGGCATGAAAAAATGATAAAACAATTGAACAATGAATCATTTCACTTTTAGGTAATCTACTATTGTGGAATGCATTGTTTTTATTTTTTTAACAAACTGTTATCTATTATCAACTAAGAAAAAATGAAATTTTGTTTTACTTGATTTTCTGAGTACTTATTTGTCTCTCCAATGATCTGATCTGTGTCCTTTACCCTCTCTAATGGACTTCTAACGATTTTGAGGATGAGTCTAATGAAATTATTACGCTTTTTTTGTATAAACTGTCTTTATTTTTCTTTAACATCTGATGGACAGTTTTACAGAATTCCATTTCTTTGGTTCTTTTCTGTCAATACTTAATTGATTGCTTTCTTCTTGCTTGTATGGGTCCTAAAAATTTGGATATACAGCAATTTTGTGTCTATACATCCATATAGATGAGCTGAGTTTCTTCCCTCTGGCTTCCAGAATTTTAAATTCAGAGCTGAAGATGCAGCTCTGTGCAGGTCACTTCCTAGCATGCTGGAGGTCTTGGGTTCAGCCCACAGTGCCATATACTAACAAGTGTCATCACTTGTAGGTTGCATACTTAGGTACAGTGCTTTTGTTTGTTCTGATTTGTTTTCTTTGGGAATTTATCCTGCTTAGTGTTTACAGATCCTATGTGTGATGTTTGACATTAATTTAGGGAAAGTCATAGTTATTATTGCCTTGAGTGTTTTTTTCTTCTTCTTCTGATACACACATTGCCATTGTCTCAGTTCTTGGACTGTCTTTTCACAATTTTTGGTCTTTATTCCCTTTACTTTAGTTTCAGAATTTTCTATTGGTTAAAAGACCAAGGCTCAAGTATTTTTTCCTGAGCTAGGTCTATCTAGTCTACTAATGAAATTGTCAAAGGTTTTATGACACAGTACTTCTGATCTATAACATTTCTTTTCTATTTTTCTTAGAATTTCTGTCTTCTTACATCATCTCTTTTTACATATTATGCACTTTATGATATTCCTTAGCACATGAATTATTAGTTACTTTAAAATTCTTGATCTATAAGTTCAATATCTGAGTCTGCTATGTCTCTTCAATCTATGGTGTCACACGACATAAATACTACTGGGAATACTGCTATGTCTCTTCAATCTATGGTGTCACACGACATAAATACTACTGGGAATGGTTGGTTATTTTGCACTACTTGGAATGCTATGGCATCATGTTTTGCCCATGTTGCAAAGAAAGACCCCCTTCCTCCTTCATTTTAGGCTCTGGTAATCACCACTCTATATCCTTGTTGTGTGTATTTGACTATGCTAATTTCCTGTATTTCATATGTCATTCTTCTGTAGCAAGTGTTGAAAGGTTTTGAAAGCCAAACATGACTACGCTGGATTTCTCTGGAAACTTTAACGCAGGTTGGTGTACACTGAACTTCCAATAATTCACTAACACAATAGTAAAAATTAAAGTAGTCAGAAAGTAAAATACAGGGAAGACTTTAGAACTTGTTTTATGAGACTTGGCTAATCTTAATGCTAAAACTACACAAATACATTGAAAGTAAATAAGAATCAGTCTGGTAACCCACATGAAGATAGATGGGAAAAGTATAAGCTAAATATTAATAAATTAAATCCAGTACAATATAGAATGATGCTATATTATGAATAAATGAATTTGATTAAATTCCACATTGGAAAATCAATACATGTAAATATTCTAACATAAAAACTGATTATAAGTTCAATTGACACAAAAAAATTCAATAAATTCAATATTATTTCAGGATGAAGTCTCACCATGAACTAGTGTAGCCGTTACACGGCTACATTCGCGTAGGAGGTCGCTCCTGCTGTTCCTCAGGGGAACCTTGGGGCGTCCCCCAAGACTAGAAACCGAAGGAATCCTCCTTAATGTAATAGAGACATTAAGAGAAAAAATTACTATGCATGCTTTTAAATTTAAGTTTATTGGTACAATTTAAATTAATGCAATGACAACATTCATTACAGCGAATGTTATCTGTATATGATGTATCTTGATTCTTCTTAAATTTTGAACTGGGACAAATTGAAAGCTTATTTCCTATGTTGGAATTCCAGCCTCCAGAAATAAATTTCTATTCTTTAGAAATTACCTAGTCTGTGGGATTTGTTGTAGTTGTACAAAATAGTCTTAGACACCCGAAAAGTTTAGCTCTCAAAAAAGTATACTAAAATTTACATATGAATTCATGACTATACTAGCCAGAACAAATCTAGAAAATCAGAAATCCTTATTATAAAGCTATGATTAGAAAGACTTATTATAAACCTATAATAATCAAAATAACATGGAATTGGCAAAAGGTAGACAGATAGATATGTAAATGAACCAGAATGAATAGACAGAAGATGACCTCAGTATGACAATGTTTTGCCCAAGTGTAGTAAAAATATCCAAGTTAAAAATAATAGTCTTTTGAAAAGTAATACTAGAAAAATTAAATATTCATATACAAAAAGTAGAATACAAATTTTGTGATTTAAAAACTATCAAAATGAATAATTGTATGCAGATGTATATGTGTAAAATTTTTAAGAGAAAATATAAAAAGAAAACTTACTGATTAGGCAAAAAGGTCTTAGACATGACACTTAAAGAACAATCCATAAAATTTTTTAAAGTAACAAATTGGACTTTAATAAAAAGGAAACCTGTTATACAAAAGAGATCATGTAAAGAAAGAAAAGATTCAAATTCTAGAAAATGTTTATGTATTAATATTCCAAAAAAGGATTTTCAAAACTCCTTAAATCAAGAATAAAAAGAAATACAAGGAAAAAGAAGAAAGAAAAAAGAAACTCAAAATATACTTTCACAGAATCATCATTAAAGAGGATATATGGGTGCCAAATAAGCATGTAAAAGATATCCAAAATTATTGTGGAAATTAAGATCTGTATTCATATGAAAAAACTGGGACACACGTCAACAAATTGGAGAACTTAAAGTAGGCAGATGATTGGAAAAATGCAAACTACCCAAACAGACTCAAAAGGAATCACAAGAAGACCTACATTCGTAAAAGTTGCAGTAATAATCAGAAACTTGCCCTGAAAAATACACTGGCAATTTTCACTAAACATCTAAAGAAGGATTAACACCAGTTTGGTACACAATCTTTCCAAAATCAGAAAGAGAGGAAACATTTTTAGCGGATTCCATGGGAGCAATAGTGCCCTTATGCCATCAGGACAAGGATGTCATGACAAAAATACCAAACACAGATCAGTATCTCTTATGAAAACGCATCAAGATCAGTTATGAACACAGATATATTTTGGATGTAATTTGTCCCCATCAAAACTCATGTTGAAATTTGATTCCTACATAACAATATGGAAAGGTGGTGGGAATTTAAAGAAATGATTTGCCATGCGGTCTCTGTGCTCATGAGCAGGTAAATGTCTCTCCATTCACAATCTTTTTTAAATAATTTAGTAACAGATTTTGAAGAAGTGTTAGATCTCATGGAAATACATTATTTACCACAAGAGTGAGTTTTTCGGGGTAATGCAAGATTACTCTGAACATTTGGCTCTCTTCTTGCCACTTTTGAACACATTCCTACTACGTGATGCCATTTACCAAGAGGCCCTGACCATAGCTGAACAGGTATCAGTCACACACTCTTAGACTTCCAGAACCGTGAGTTAAGAGCTTTTCCTTTTTTGTTTCTTAAACTTCTGTATTTTGTTTTGCTTTTTTTCTTAATAGGGCACTCAGCCTCAGATTCTTTTTATATTTTAAAGAGATTAAGACAAAAGAGGACAGAACAAACAGATCAGAACAATGTAAGCAACACAGTAGTTCACGACAAGACAATCCAATATTAACAGTAGCTATCATAATGTCTCTTTCTTTGAAATAATTGAGCATACCTTCACATACAATAGTATCAAACATAAAAAACTAGTGTAAAACCATTAAAGATAATGAAAGTATTACAGGGCATTCAAAACCAAATAACAGAAATGAACAATGGCTAATATATTATCTCCTTTTCTATAAAAAATTTTGTTTATACTACTACAAATATTAAAATCCAATAAGAAGATATTTTGTTTATTTGGGGGGCCACAGTTGCCTGCTTGACCAATGGCTGGATGTTTGGGATGAAGGAGGCTGCCTGTGTGACTGCCCGGATGACTGGCTTGGCTGCTGGTTGATGCTGAGGCCTTGATGAAGATGAGTGGCTTGGAAGATGCCATGGCATGACCTCCATGCCTTGATTACTTTAACTTCTAAGATCTATTTTTTCCCTTTTAGATCATGTAGACAATTGTAAATCATGTGAAGATGGGACTCCTGGTATTTGTGCGCAATCTGCTGCTAGCCCTCTGCCTCTTTCTGGTACTGGGATTTTTGTATTATTCTGCGTGGAAGCTGCACTTACTCCAATGGGAAGACTCCAGTAAGTATAGTCACAGGAACAGCCTGTTGCAGGTCTGTTATGCAAGTTTGTCATGCAGCTGAATGCTGTCATAGTTTTCAGAGATGGGCGGTGAGTATAATCTGAACATTTCTGGGACTTTTGATTAGAGATTGCCTAACCTTTTAGTCGCTGCAGGCTGAAAGCACCTTTTTTTTTTTTTTTTTCTTCCTTCCTTTTTTTAACTGCATGCATGGCAAATCTTAATTCCTTTTTTAAGCCCAGTGAGATTGTGCTGTTATTCAGTTAAAAACCTGCACTACACCCATAACTCTAGTTCTTGAGGTTTTTGTTCTTTTTAATTTCCGTATTGTAATACACTCTAATTTTGCATTTATTGCCTTAGGGTTTGATGTTGAAGTTTTTTTTTTTTTTCTTCTGCTCTCAAAACATGTATCTTTACTTTTGAATTTTCTGTTTTCATTTCAATATTGTCTTTTGTTTTCTTTAATGAAACTTTGTCTTAATATTTGGTGTTGAATCTACATCTAACTAAAATTTTGGCTTCTTCTTTTTTTTTTGGTACCAGATATTGAATTTATAATTTCACGCTTGCCAGGCAGGTGCTTGTGCCACTGAGCTAAATCCCCAGCCAAATTTTGGCTTCTTTTTTCCTACTCAGTGACTTCCGATCCTTTTTCTTCCATCTGTGTGTTTGATTTCGTGTGTTACACAATGTACACTGGCACTAGCCTGCCGCTATGCTGAGGCCATAACTTAGGCCCTAACTAGAGAATTAGTCCTGTGAGATAGTTCATTTATTTCTTATGGCCCAAACTACTAAGCAACTTCAAGCCAAGTTTTAAAATAGTGTCTTTTTTTTTTTAACAATGTTTTATCTTTTATTGTTTTACATAGAATTTTAAGTGCTTCTTTAATGTTTAGCTTATAATTATCACTAATTACTTTATGTTTCAAGAATGTATTCAAATTTCTCTGTACTTTTGTTTGTTTGTTTGAGACAAGGACTCATCGTATAATCCAGGCTGGCTTTGATCTTGCTGTGTAAACTAAAGAGGTCTTGAACACCTGCTTCTCCTGTCTTAGCCTCCCAAGTGCTGGGAATACAGGCATGTTCCTCCACACCTGGCTTCACTTGTTTTTAAAGTCAAGGAAACTACCCAAGATAAGCAGCCATTTGAGCCATGCTGTGTATAATGGTGTTTTCTGTATTCAGAATGGTGATTCCTCTGTGTAGAAAATGTGTGCAAGGAACAAAGGTCTCCTTTCTCATAGAAAATATAACAAAGATTTAGATAACATTTTCCTAGGCAGGGAAAGAAATTCACATTGTGGAAGATGATTGCGGTGGCAGGTATTAGGCAGACAACTCACAAGTTTTATCTTATCTGATTTAATTCTTGCTATAATTCTGTGAAGATGTGATTATATTCCCATTTTCTAGTTGAGCAAACTGTAGCGCATAGTTTAATCTATCAAGGTTATACAGATAATCATTTTTAAAGCTAATGGGAATGGAGTTGAAAACTGAATTTCTAGCTTTAAAACCCACACTCATTTTTTTTGAAGAGTATGATAAATGATGAAGAGAGGATTTGGTTTTCTGTTCCACCTGATAAAAAGAGAAGAAAGGAGCTCAGAGAAGGAGTGGTAGGAAGTGTCAGAAGGAGGGTGGAGAAAGGAAAAGGAGGAACGTAAGAGGAAGGGAAGAGAGGAAGAAAGTCGTCCACAAGAGGACTTGAGAGGTTATTTTGGAGGTGAGGAGGTGGTACTGAGAAGTGCTGTAGGTAAGCTTCAGTAGTTTATTACTAGTTCCTTGCTGTCTTTAGTAGTGTTAGCTAACTATCCAATATTCACAGCATTTCTGTTATTCTGTCTGTTAAGCCTCTTAGATATTTGATTTTGAGTAGATTATTATCTTTTTTAGGGGTGGTACTGGGAATCAAACTTAGGATCTCAAGCTTGCCAGGCGGGCACTGTGCCACTGAGCCATATCCCTGGCCCCTAGTAGATTTTCTATAGCAGTATTTCTGTGCTTCAGTATCAGGACAGAATAAGAGGAGCAATGCTGGGTGGCTTAGTGTCAGAGAGGGTCAAACAAGATCAAGAGGAAGGAGATTCTGGACCCAGATGATTGCTATGTTGTGAATTTTAAGTTATGGTTTAGTAATATTGAAGATGTGATGCTGTCCTTTTTTTTCTGAGGACCTTAGAAGACACTTTGAAGTTTGAATATAAATGTTCTTAACATTATGAGGTACTTTTTCTTTTTTATAATAATAAAATTTCCTATTGAATTTCTTCTATGATGAGAAAGGAAACTAGAGTTTTATTTACTACATTATTTATCCAGTACTCATTCCTTTGATAGTCCATGTACTGTCCCAGGTAAACTGGATATAGATGAACATACCCACTGTGACTGAAGTATATGGTGAATATTTAAAGTTTGTTTTGTTTTGTTTTTTGGGGACAGTCTCACTATGTAGTTGATGTTGGTCTTGAACTCATGGTGATCCTCTTGCCTCAGCTGCCTGAGTGCTGGGATTATACTTGTGTGCTACCTCATCTGGCTTTAAATTGTTAAAGTTTATTACAGTAAAAGACGCATTGCCCAGGTGTGGTGATGCACACCTGTAATCTGTAATCCCAGCACTCGGGAGGCTGAGGCAGGAAGATTGTTGCAAGTTCGAGACCAACCTGGGCTACATAGTGAGCTCAAAGCCCAGCCTGAATTGTGTGGTAAGACCCTGTCTCAAAAAGACAGACAAAGAAAGAAACAAACAAACAAAGACACATTCTCTTCAAAATATCTGTTCTAAGTTTTCAACACACTTACCCCATGGTCTTTGCTACTTTCCAAAGCAGTTCTGAGGACCTGTGGGTCCTTATCCACCTTAGTCACCAAATCTGACACCTTGCAATTCCTGACTTATCTTCAAAATCATCATAGCCTTGAAAGGTGAATGATTTGAATTGATTTAATCGATTAAGTCAAATTTAAGGGTTTGGTGTTCTTAAGGACACTGGGCAAAATTATACTAGGAGAAAAAAAATTTCAATATTTAAAATTCACAGGGGTTGGTATATAATATACAAGGTACTTCTGCAGTCAAGAAGCAAAGGGCAACAATCTCAGTAAAAAGTAGAAAAAAATTTGATGGGTAATTTATAGAATTGGAAAATTCAGACTAAGCATATGAAGATACAATCAAACTCGTGGGCAAGGGGGGATCGGAGAACATGGCGGACAGACAGCAGCAGCTACTGAAGGCTCTCTGAAACGCTCGGCTCAGAGGCCAGGAATGATGCGGACTAAGGAGATACGAACCAGTAGAGATGTACTCTGCTGACTCAGGAACGAACTGGGCTGAGAGAATCCAACTTAGAATGCGGTCCTGGCGCTAAAATAGGAACAGAGAAGTCTCGGTGTGGAGGCTCGACCGCGCGCCATTGGAAACCGCGATTTGGGTTTCCCGCCGCCCGGCGGCTGGCTGCCTCCACAGCGGCTCGGCAAGGAGAGACGCGCCGAGCTCTGGGAACGGGAGTCTGCGAACGGAGTCGGAAACAGGACGGACAAGGAGGAAAACTGACTGGTGGCGAGGTGAGCGAGAAACTGACTCCCTACCACAGTTTGACTCCAGCGGAGGTTTTTCTGGGCTCGGGCAGTCCTGTAAGAGCAGGGCGCGGTGGCAACCCCAGCCGCACATTCCCCTCTCGGACGGGATTGGTGAAAGGTGCCTGGCCTGAGTGACGCTGCTGGCGGACTCCCTAGGCTGGCCTAACCCAGATCCCAGAGCCTGACGGTGGCCCGGAGGAGCGACCGACTCCCGCGTAGGCTGCCTCCTCTGCAACTCCCTGGGGCGCAGCGGTGGGCGGGAACAACTAGCCAGCGCAATTTGATCAGGCTGTGGCTGACAGGCAGGGAAGCCGGGCCTCCTATGTAAGATTGCATTTTATAAGGAACAGAAAATATGGGGAAGGGAAGCAACAAAAAAGGCTCCTCGGCCCCCAATCCTGAGAATCAGGCAATAGTGGACACCGCACCAATATACATTAAGCACCATATAGAGAGCCTCATAGACCAATTCAGGAATGAAGTTATCAATGACCTGAAGCTAGAAGTATGCAGAATAGTTAGAGAAATGCTAAGCACCACCCAGGAAAAAGCAGATGGTGGAATGGAAGAACAGAAAAAGAGGGGAGAATTGCTTGATGGAGAAAACAGAGAAAGCATTGAGTATGTGAAGCAGGTTCAAAGGGACTATCAAGAAATTAAGAAGTCTATCCAAGACTGGCATAACAGCTTGAAAGAAACTAAGGACAGACTATCTGAATTGGAGGGCAGACTTGAAACATGGGAGAATGAAATGAAAAACTTCTTAAAAATAACAAAGAAACACACAGCAATAATACAAAGACAAGAAGATGATAAGAGGAGCCATAACTTAAGGATTAAGAACATAAAAGAAGAAGTAGGGACACAAACAAGTGAACTACAAAAGCTACTCACAGAAATAATCCAGGAGAATTTTCCTAATTTAGCAAAAGGTAAAGATACTCAGATGTATGAGGCATACAGGACCCCAGCTACCTACAACCCTAACAGAGAAACACCCAGGCATATAATAATAAAAATTCCAGAAATTCAATACAAGAACAGAATATTAAAAGCTGTAAGAGACAAGAAACAGATCACTTACAAGGGAATACCCATCAGAATTACAGCAGATTTCTCTTCACAAACCATCAAATCACGAAGAGCATGGGGAGAAATAATTCAAGCTTTGAAAGATAATAATCTCCAGCCAAGATTGATATATCCTGCACAACTGTCCCTGGAAATTGATGGAAAAACGAGGTGCTTCCAGGATAAAGAGGAACTGGGGGAATTTGCAACCACCAATTCAACCCTACAGAAAGTATTGCAGGATATTCTAAAAAAAGAAAAATACAAAGAACCTAGAAATAGTGGCGGGGAGGCCACAACAAATGGAGCAGAGAACAAAATGAAGAAGACA